TTCCTGGTCCTGAATTCTCATTTTAAAGACTAAGATGATAAATTAATCAATTAATATAACTTAATCTCTGAAAACATACTAGAACACCAGGTCTAAGAAACTACAGCTGATGTCTATGTAACCCAGTTTCTGAATCTGCTCCCCAACCAACTCCAGGAACAAGCCTGAAAACCAAGACACTGGGGGAAAATTTTTTTTTTTTTATTCTGAGGGGGAAATTTTTTTTGATGTTTTTGTGCTTTATTATCAATGCATCTTGATTGCAAGTTGATTAATTTCAGACTAAAGAACTTAGTAGAATTTGTCAGTCTCTTCATAACCAACTTTAGTGATTGACGTGTGAACTTGATAATAATTGTATTCGCTGGTCTTTCTCATAAGCCTCTAGGTATGATCCTGTCACACATAGGCTTTTGCTTTAAGATGGATATTAAAATGTTCTTTTTGATGAAGAATAGGATGCCACTCCTTGTGAAATTGTCACTCTTGACATAGTAAAAAAAGCCACCCACATAGCCAATTCTAATAAAGCAATAAATATCAATTGACGGTCTACCCGTTGGCAGTGGGAGCCCATTAGCAGCTCCACAGGAAAAAGATCTGGCAATTTCTTCCCTAAAAATTGCAGTCAAGGAAAACCTGTGAGGTAGCTGTACTGTCACATAAGATCAGTCTGAGTTGTAATTGATGCAAGGAGAATGACCAGGCATAAGGCACCGAGAGATTGTGGGCATGGGAGTTTGGAGAATGGAAAGTCTAACACATGAGCTGCCCTATTGCTGTTCCTCAAACAACATCAGCATTCTCTTTGCATGGTTAGCTCTTTCCCCAGAAATGTCTGGGTTCATTGCCAGACTTCTGGCAAGTTTTTGTTCTAATGCCACATTCTCAGTGAGGGCTACCCAGTCCATCCTGTTGAAAATGGCAACATATTTAAAATGCACTATCCACTTATGTAGGTCACCATTAGGATGTCATGTTCATTAGTGCACAGTTCATTAGCTCATTATTTTGTTTACTGATTGCTCTTAAGCAATTCCTGAACATGGTTTGCTGCTTAGAGGGCACTCAATAAATATTTACATGAAGGAATGAATGGCTGCTTCTTTTCTTGTCCTGATCTTCTACTCTCTTCTTTCAAGTTCAACTCTTCTAACTCATTTTCTTATCACCCATACTGCTCTCTATGTTTATGGTTTGCTTTCTTTTTTTCTGAGGGAGTGAACATAGTTCCAGGACACTGTGGTGGTGCAGTGGTTAAGGCTCAACTGCTGAGTGGAAAGGTTGGAATTTCAAGCCCATCAACGTGAAATAATTCACTGGGAGAAAGGCCTAGTGGGATGCTCCCATAAAGACTGACAGGCTAGGAAACTCGAGGGGACTGTTCTACTCGGTCACGCATAGTCACTATGAGAATCAACTCAATGGTACACACACAGCAACATTATAATGACAAAAACGAAGTTAGGTAACATCATTCACCCACCAACTTTTCTCACTTCACAATGACGGGCCTTCAGAAAGGTCAAGGAAAATGTGTATCAAGAAAAAAAAACAATGCAAAAATTGGAAACTAGCTTTTCACCCAAATAAACTCATACTAATTTATTATAACATGTCTGGACAGGATCTAACCACTACAAAAGGTAAGACATCAGTTTGAAAAGAACTTCTATCAGAGCAACATGACTTCTATGAAAATTGAAGCAAGTTTCTTGGGACCCTGTGTCAAAGAAATCAGTAGCTAATAAGTGGATCACTCCTTTATTTGTTTATTTATTTTGATAACTTTTTAAAAAGGACAAGATGGTATTAGAAATAAAGCCCACAGCAGCAGGCCATTGACATAAATAAAAAAAAATCTTTTTATTGGGAGCTCTTACAGATATTCTAACAATTCATAATTCAATTCGATCAATTATATAATTGCAATTGTATAATTGCTACCACCATCATTTTCACGTTTCCTTCCTTCTTGAACTCTTTGATATCATCTCCCCTTTGTCCCCTCCCTCCCTTATTATTATATTATGCTAATGATTATTTATTAATCATTCTATTGGGGGCTCTTACAACTTTTATAACATTCCATACATCAGTTGCATCAAGTATATTTGTGCATATGTTGCCATCATCATTTTGAAAACATTTTCTACTTGAGCCCTTGGTATAGGCTCCCCTTTCCTCCCTATATTATAATTATTATATATCATTATTATTATTTTTCCTGTATCTTACACAATCCAATGTATTCATTCACCCACAATTCTGTTATTTGTTCCCCTTGAGTGGGGTTATACAGTCATCATTGCTATCGGTCACCCCCCTCTTCTCATACCCTTATTACTCCCATTACTATTTCTGAAGGGTTTATCTATCTTGAATTTCATGCATTGAATGACCTTAATTATACAAATGAACATACACAGGTCTCACAAGATTAATGAGGTGAAACTAAGACCATAATAGTAAGTGGGGATGGGATATTAAAGACCTAGAGGATAGTTATGTGTTTCATCAGTGATATACTCCACCCTGGATATATCATCCCTTCCATGTGACCCTTCTGTGAGGGACTGTCCAATGATTGTACAGGTGTGTTTGGGGTCTCCACTTTGCCTACATTCCTTCACATCAATCTGATTGCTTATTTTTGAATTTCTAATACCTATTCCCATCAACAGCTCATGATCACACAGGCTGGTGTGCTTCTTCCATGTGGGCTCTGTTGCTTCCCTGCTAGATAGCCATTTGTTTAACTGCAAGTCTTTAAGTTCTCAGAGTCTATCTTTTGATAGCTGTGCACCATCAGCTTCTTCACCACTTTTGCTTATGCACCTATTTTGCCAATGACATCAATTTTTGAGGAAAAAATTACTCTTCTCTGTGCTCTAATTGAGGAGGACCAACAGTTAATAGCAGAAACAGTAGCCAACACCATAGACATCTCAATTGTTTTAGTTTATTTAATTCTGATCTAAATTTTAAGCTAAGAAATCTTTCTGCCCCAAAACTGTTGTGTCTCACTCACCTGTAGACAAGAGCAGCGATTTCAGTGGGCATTCTAAATAAATGGAATAGATATCTTAAAGCATTAAAAAAATTTGTAATAGGAAATGAAACATGGCCCTATCAGTACAATCAGGAAAACAAAGGACAACCAAAATAATAGCTTCCAAGGTGTGAAAGCGGTATAGTCAAAACAAAAGTGAGCCATTCAGTAGCAAAAGCTGCAATGCCATCAGTGTTTTGGGATGCTCCAGGTATTTTGCTAGGCTGTCTAGGAGACCAATGAACAGCAACATCTGCTTACTTATAAGTGTTTTGAGAAAGTTAGCTAAATCCTTAACAACAACAACAACAAACTCCGGGGGAAACCTTAACCTGCGTCCTTCTCTGTCGTTATCACAATGCACCTGCTCATCAAACCTCTCATCAAACAAGGACACTTTTGCAAGAAGAGCAGGAGAGAGGAGTGCGAAGGTGAACTTCCTCGGGAGCCTCTGACCACCGCCAGAAGCCGAGTGGGCTTCAGATTGGTGAGAGAGAGAGGGACGGCGTGGACCCGATTGGGAAGCAGCAAACAGGAAGCGTGTCCCTGGGGAAGACTGGCGGACTTGTGGGAGCGGGGCGGGGCCGGACCAGGGGCGGGGCCGGGAGGCAGGAGGAGCCTGATTGGCTGGGGCGGGACCTGGGCGGGGCCAGAGGGCCCAGCCGGCCGCGGGGCGGGGCAGGCGGAATGCGCAGTCACACCGCGCAGGTCTGGACG